CCAGGCTTATTAATTCAGTTTAAGGTTTATACATATGCAAGCTATATATTTCCATTGGCTGCTACTGCGTTATTGTTGCATAATAAACTAACGCGTCTTAAACAATGATTAGCTTGAGGTTCTGCTAGTTAGGACGGTTTTATTTTTTATAGCTCTTATAATTTATAAAAAAACATTTTGATTATCCTAGAATATGGAATAGCAATAGCCGACTTTCTTTTGTACCGTCATAAGATGTTTTCATTTTAATTGAAAATAGGCTTGGGTCAAAATCTCTTATTCATCCCATCTTTCTCGAGCTTGGGGTCCGCTATGACGAACGTCAAATCTGGGGCTCAAATGCTCGTTGCGTCGCTTTTTTGCAGGCCGTCAGTTGTCTCATTCGTTCTCACTCTCCTCAGTCTGATAACCATCTCCACTGTATTCGTTGGAAGAAGAATGATTCCGACCTGATGGAACCACTCACCTCCCGGTAATTAATTATTTTTCTTTTATTGGTGATCTAGATAATATTATTAATAAGGTTCGGTTGCCATCTGGGTAATTTAAATATGTTACTGGTACTTTCAATATTACCGGCGATAAAAGCGTCAAAATTATTTTAAACCTTTAAGATGAGCGAAATTTCATAATTTTACCTTATTTGATATAGTGTAGCCCAGAGCAAGCTGGAAAACAAAGAATATGAGCTCACGAATTTTGTGGGATGTAATAAATACACGTACGCATATATATATATATATATATATATAGCGACTAGATTGGCATCGTCTTTTTCAATATAATATACATACGCTTCTTTTATATTAATATTTTATCATTAACCAACTTTGTATTAAGCAATTATCGATTTATAGGGGCATTTTTTGTCTTAAAGAACATATAGCATACTTTAATTTTCGGTTAAAGAGACTCTAACCTGATGCTTTTTTGCGTACTGCGTGAAGAGGAATATCCATATACTAGGATGCATTAATTCAAACAAAGTAGCATCCTTTTCGCCAAAAGCGGAGTGCTTTCTAGAGAGGATTGGCAATGACCCATTGAACTTCGATGCATAAACATAAAATACCTGCATTTAAAATAATTTAGGGTACCACGGTTTGAGCTATGATGCTTTGTGCGAAAACTT